CTTCGCAATTTAGTTCACATCTGGAGGGAACAGCATGGAAGCAACGAGCGTGGTCGACGCCTTGTTTACGGTACAGGAAAAGGAACTGAACCGCTCAGCACCGTTATTTCACGCACCAGGCCCCGATGGCTCGGCCACGTGTTGCGCATACCAGCCCACCGACTTCGCGACGTGCGTTGTTTGCGCGTCGGGAGTGTGCATAGAAGAGGAGGGGGTGGCCAAGCGATGACTTGGTCGAGAGGAATGAAGACCCTCACTTCGAAGCTGGCCTCGGTTGGAGCGTCTCGGCTCCCTGCTTGGGGTCGGAAAGACGGTGAACACGTCTAGGTGCCGACCTCAGTGGCGTTCGTGCTGTGAGTTTCTTTGTCCCATCCCATCCCTCTTAAATTCCCCCTTCAACCACGATCTCACTATTTAGCCTTATATAATTTTGCATAGTGCCGGCAGGTGGCTTACCGGAACGATGCCCATCCGTTACCGGTAGCTCAGCTGACTTGCACCTGTTGCATCTTTTTCTTCTTCTATGTATTAGGGCACAGTAGCTGAAGTTTTTCCCACCTCTAGTTAACATGTATAATAATGATGATAATGTGCACCTTGAGGAATGCTAGTTTCAGCGATGATCTAGGGCTCCAGATAGGAGTGAATGAGCCGACGTTGTCCGCTTGGTTAGATCTGGACCTGTCAACGGCAGAAACAACGCTGTGTAATTGCTTGTGAGTCGAAACTACTAGACAAATGTCTATCAGAGCAAGGTGGGAACAAGGCCAAGGATTTTGAGACTGAAAATAGGTGGAGTTGAAACAAGTTGAAAAGAATGCAAAGGTGTAAGAGCGTGAATAAGGAAACCTTAGTGGTGGAATTTCCATTCCTACCCATTCCATTCGATTCAGCAGATGAAGCGCCGTTGATTACCCTCTGGGATGGCCAGAACTGCAAGTCTTTCTTTAGAATGAGGCTGGACCTTACCGTGGTGCGATGGTTTGCGTGCCTCAGAGATCCATGGAACTATGCTGTGTTGCTTTTTGCACCTTCAGAGCCACTCATACCAGATTGGTCAATGGTTAGAGGCCAAATAAACTCAGTCTCCTGCTTCTCCAGGTTTGGGAGTTGGAATGAGGATGGCTCCTTATTCCTTCCTACGAATTCCTTGTCGCCCACTGCCTAACCCGCTGCTTTGCGGTGAGCTTTTTGTACCAAAGGCTTTGGTTGAGAGCCGTAGTCATTCTGCTGTCTAGGCCTGAGCAATCTGACAGAATATTACCCACACAGTACCATGAAACCTTCATTAAACGATTTCTTGATGCTCTGGCCATCGCAGAGGATACTAAACAGCGCCCTATCTGCTGCATCGAGCAGGGTGGCTAGAGGTTTGGATGCTACTGCTCAAACCTTCCCGTTTTCTTATTTCCCCTTGTATGCTTTTTCATCCTTATCACTCCGTTTCAACTTCACTTTAATTCTTCATGTTTTTAACCACCACCGTGCTTTGATAGGCGTTCATCTTCTAGTTTCAATTCATGCGAACGCGAGGCGGCACTCCCTGTCCTGTCGACAAGCCCATGTCCAATCAAGCGGTTCTCCCCACTTCATCGGCTTCCATTTGGAGGCCTCGGTTCTCTTTCAAATTGGCATGTCTCAATGTACGCACATTGCTGCAGATCGGTCAACAGGCAGCACTTGCCCGAACATTAGAGACCCTCTCGATCGACATCTGCTGTTTATCGGAGACCCGCTTGCAAGGCTCGACCTCTGTGCTCACTTTGCGATCCCCTTTAGGTGACACCAGCAGCACTTTCTCATTGCGCCTATCCGGTGCCGATGCGGCTTCGAGCATCGGATAAGCCGGCTTTGGTATTGCCCTGAGTCCCCAAGCTGAAGGTGCTCTGCTTGATTGGACCCCAATCAGTAGCTGGATGTGTGCGGTCCGATTAGCCGACACGTTCAAAGTTTCGAGGCCGTGCGCAACTACTAGATGTCTATACGTCATCGCTACCTACGCCCCTATAAACTTTAGCGATTCTTTGGTGAAGTACGACTTCTAACGCCAACTGAACGAGCTTCCTCGCCACCGAAGAAACACAGACACTGTTTTGCTGGCTGGGGGTTTGAACGTTCAAGTTGGAAACTTTTTCACTGATGAATTGCATCTGGGCGAATAGCAAAGTGTAGACTCCCGTAATAATAACGATGAGCGTTTACTTGTGTGCAGATGGCCAGTTATTTCTTGCGAGCACTACCGACACAGCACCCGCCGGAGGGTGACATGGTGCCCATCAGCCTCCACTCATCTTAGGATGCAAATCGATCACATTTCGATCAGTTACCGCTGTAGAGGCTGCTTCCAGAACTGTCGCTCTATTTGGAGCACGTGTGGACGCCGACCATGTACGTTTATGTGCTGATCTGCTGATGCCTTTTGACGGATGTCCACGACGGCGCTGTGTGTGCATTGACATCAGCCAACTGGCGAAGCCAATTGTCCAGAATGCGTATCGAAGTCCGCTGACATGCGGGTTGAGTAAGCGCTCACTGGATACAATTGAAGCTCGCTGGTCCCATGTTCATCAGACCTTCCTAGCAGCAGGCAACTCCTCATGTGATAAGTCTAATAGCCAACATGGACATTGAGACTCTTCGTATTCTCTGGAACTTATCGATGCTCGCCGGCACATTTTGCCTGGAAGCGAACACAGTGAGACTCGCAATAACTGGGCAAAACTCCGTGCTAACCTGAAGAGAGGCCGCTTATCCTGGTGGTCTTTTCGCGCGTCAGAGATGGAAGTGGCCGCATCCCTTGTTCACCATTGGAAGTCATTCCTTCTGATACGGGAAACGGGCCCGTAGCCTAGAGGTAACGAGCTTGTCTCATAATGTTGCGGCGCGCGTTTGAGCCTGCGTATGGACAGCGCGATCATCGTAGTCTCCTTAGCCATCGTGCGACCGGTGGTGATTGCGCGGCGACGAAGCGTCGATATTGCCTACCGACGTACCGCTAATGTCGGAAACGGGCAGCAGGGGACCTGGTGTTAGTGAAACAACTATGACGAGAGTGGACACCCTATCCACAACTTGTCAAAACGTTTGGAGCATTGGACTGAGCATTTTGGAAAGCAATTCAATCGGCCGGAATTGTTAGATTCCTCACCGACCAGGGATTGCTCTGTTCCCGTGACTTTCCATTTGGATCCGCCCTCTCGCTCAGAAGTCGAACGTGAGGTCGTACTGTTGAATTTGAGTAAAGCCGTGGGACCAGATGATCTTCCTCCAGCCCTGCTTTTGTTGATGACGAATTACTAATGAAGGTATGGGAGCAGGAAATTTTACCAACCGACTGGAGCCCCTCCGTTATTGACCCGATCTCCAAAGGATACTCACGTTCGGAATGTGGCAACCATAGAGGAATCAGTCTGATCCCCATCACCTTCATATTACTTGCCTCTGTTATCCTCCACCAACTGACTGCCACTCGTGAAAGCCAGATTCGTGAGGAGCGAGCAAGCCGGGTTTCATCTAAGTCGTGGCTGCATCGACCACTTGGGGTATGCTGACGATATTGCTCCATTTGTGACAGCTCCCAAACGTGCCAAGCTGCATTGGACAGATTAGCACTGGCTGTCAGACGCTTCGGGATATGCTTGCATCCTCGAAATGCGAAGCTCTCCCATTAGCTTGGCATGGGCCGCCTCCTGCGCTGACTCTTTGTGGGGATCAGCTACCAGTCGTTCAACAATTCAACTACCTGGGAAGTTGTATCAGCGCCCTTGGGACCGAAGACGAGATCACGACCAGTATAGCAAAAGCTCGAGGCGCTTCTACTAACCATTTCCATTTGTGGCACCGGCGCGACATTACTCTTGCCTTGAGGGTCAGCGTGTACAATACAGCGATACGTTCGACCCTACTATACGGTTGTGAAACCTGGCCCCTTAGATCAGCCGACATAAAGTGGCTAGTTACGTTCGACCACCGGTGCCTTCGCAGCTTGTCTCACCTCTGGTGGAAACATCGCGTGGGTAATGAGTGTGTTCGGTGCCTTGTTTACGGCACAAGAAAAAGAACTGAACTGCTAAGCATCGTTATTTCACGGACGAGGCTCCGATGGCTCGGCCACGTGTTGCGCATGCCAGCCCACCGACTTCCGCGACGTGCGTTGTTTGCGCGTCGGGAGTGTGTATAGAAGAGGAGGGGGTGGCCAAACGATGACTTGGTCGAGAGGAATGAAGACTCTCACTTGGAAATTGGTCTCGGTTGGAGCGTCTCGACTCGCTGGTTGGAATCCGAAAGATGATGAACAAGTTTGGCTGGATACACTTGCTGACATGATTGGAAGCCGTCCTCAGTGGCGTTCATGCTGTGAGTTTCTTTGCCCCCCACATTCTTTTATCCCCCACTGCAACCATCATCTCATTTCTTAGCATAATAATTTTACACAATGATTTTTTTGCATAGTAGCCGGCTGGTAGCTTTCCGGAACGATGCCCATCCGTAACTGGTAGCTTAGCTGACATGCATCTGCTGCACGTCTTTTTTTCTTTTATGTATTGCAGCACAGTAGCTGAGGTGTTTTACACCTCTAGCTAACGTGTATAATGATGAATGCTGATGTTTAGGAAGATTGAGAATACGATGCCTTACACTGCGTTTCTGATAGTTGTGACGTGTCACCATCGAAGCTAGGTAGGATAGTTACAAAAAAGTCCATCAACGTTCTTTACTATCCGAATTCGCATCTATACTCGGCTACTTCTGTGCGTGGACTCGAAGCGAATGCGAAACTAGCCTTAAAGTGCAATGCCGATAGCGGGCAGCTTGCTCCTCTTTGATAACTCGCTGTGCCCGCCAGGCCTCATGATTCAGTGCTATAATCAACCGACCTTTGATTCATATTAACCCGCACACAAATGGTAGTGTATAAGCCTGTTGTCGTTTTATTTGAACTGCTTTTATTTCCCTTTCAACATGCCAATCGTACTTATCGTGATGGACCTTGTTTTCAGACACCATTGCAAACTCTGTCCCTGGACCTCCTTCAAGAGTGGCCACAAACAATACGTCCCCTGTAAAGCCAGCCGCTGCCTCGCATGCTTCTACATTCCGTGAAGGGGAAGTGCGTAAGGGGAAGAAAATCGGGCATCGACGTGTGACCGAAGAGGGTACAGTTACCTATAAAAAGGTTAGCCCTTTGTGTTCCCGTTTACTCTTCTATGTCCTCTTTCTCAGATAATGGTTAAAATCCGCTACGGTGTTCACATGTGATCTTTAGCTTATCGTTTTTGAAACGTGTTTCATTTGCAACTGGTCTTCACCATTTGTTTCGCATCTAACACTGTAAATAACCTTGGATATCTTTTCTACTTTTGTCGCGTTTAGAATATTTCAAACATATATTCGCTGGTTACGGATATTACTCACGTGCTTCTCTCTAAGTCGACTCCTGTCACTCGTTATTTCTGTTGGGATTTACGATAGTTATTGCTCTCACTGTACCTGTTTTCACTTTATTTGTGGCATATGTGATGTTGCAGCATTCATTTCTATGCTCTTTCACCGTCTCCTGGCTTTTTAACAGTGCGCTTGCGCCACGGAGTCTTCGACTCTATTTAGACAGTAGCCATTTTTGTGCACCCTCTTTGTTGCTTTTGCTTTCTGTAACAACATAAGCCATGTTTCCGTCCACTCAATTCCCCTAACTTTTCAGGTTACACACTCGTGTGAGCTTTCATTAGCTGATGGTCGTCATCAAACCTAACAGGGATGTTCTTCGTTGGTTTAGGGCGGATGTTTTGACTAGCCCCAGAAACCCCTAGTCAGCTGATGTGATCAAATAATGCATCAATAGTCTTAAAAATCCGTCGCAGCGAAACTAGACCTTAACGTGGTGCGACGGTTTGCGTATTTTTACAACCTATTGGGCTATAATAGGTGGTCTCCCAGATCCCATTGAGCGCTACTCCTACCAGCTTTATCAAACTTTACTGGTTAAACAAGCCCAGTCTCCTTGTCCTCCAGTTTGTGGGTTAGAAATGAGATGGCATCCACTTCTTTAAAACCGAATCGGGGCCTCTCCTCGTTGACCTTTGAGTTAGAGGCTTTGTTTTGTAACCATAGTCATCCTCCAATCAAGGTTTGGGCGCCCTGCTTCCTGTATTTGGATCAGGAAGAGCAGGTGAACCGCTTAGCACCGTTATATCACGCATTGGACAGTGTAAGCTTACGTCTGTTAGGACCTATGCAGGTTTTCTTCCTTGTTGGCCGTTACCAGCAGAGTACGCCATGGTTTCCCCATCTTATCGTTCCTGTTCGAGTCTACCATCGAAGATGTTCTCCATTGCTCACTGAAAGATCCCGGAGATGCGGCTTAAAGTTTCCTTTCGGAGTCAGAGTTGTGGACATTGGTTATACTGGTAGCATCGCTTTGCTGAAAGCCAATGCGCGTTCCCTCCAGAACTTTTTGCGCCGCTTAGCGATAGAGGCATCTAGACATAGTCTGTATTTGCCGCAACTAAATGTAAACTTTCAGGGTTAGGCAGCGCTTATGCTGTTTCTCATTATTGCTGGTGACAAGCTGAGGCAACTTAATAGCCTTACTTATCTCCTGAGTTGTACGTTACGGCTGGTGGCGGTATTAAAATTTAACTTTTTCAACGTGTCGCCAAAACGCGCCTTGCTTTCACTAACCTAAGATACTTGTGACGTCGTTGCGATTTCAGTTATAAGTCCAGTAGCAGGGTGTACAATGCCACCATCCGTGTAGTCCTGCTGTTCGGCTACGAGACTTGGCCTGTTCGCGCGGATTTGTGACATTTGTCAGCCTTCGATAACCGATGTTTGTGAATGATTGCTCATGTATGGTGGCAGTGCCACGTATACAATACGAATGTCAGAAGCTGAGCACTCGGCGCAAACAGTTCCTTTCTCTGGAGCATTATTCCAACAGTTTCCGTCAACTGGACCGCATACTACTAATGTCGATCCATGTACTTCGTCTTCACACATTACTTGCACTTTGTGGACGTGTATTGTGTATCTCTCGGCGGACAACTGATGACGTGGACGAGGAGCATGAAGAATCTTACTTCATATCTGGAGTCAGTTGGATCTGTACGTCTTTCACTTTGGGGTTCACGTGATGCAGACTCCTAGCGGTTAAAAGTCTTGGAGGTTAATGTTCGCAGTAGAACTCAATCTCCTCAATGCTGCTCTCCCTCTTCTTTTTCAAGTACTGCCCAATTTTAAACAATATGAAATCAAATCAGATATCTAAAATCCGTAGGTGTGAAAGATCCGAAAGAACCTATCCCAATTTTTGTACCGCTTTTTTCTTCGTCGGAGAACATTTCCCCCTTTCATTACCGCTTTGATTCTGAACGCACAGTTGCCTGTTTTCAGATTTTTAACTAACTAATAATATACGTACTTAACGCTTTTGGATACAACCTTACGTTGTTTTCGCTGGTTACTACTACTGCGAAGTTGTACCGTGGTTTTCCTGACGTAACCTTGTTGTTGTTTGTATTATCAACGATCTCATCTTTCGGGACTTTTTGGATACAGCACAGGTTCATATCAAAAGACCGGAGCATCGGTACTCTTCCCTTCGCATCTAGCTCCTTGTCTTTTCACTGCAATGGATGGAAAATTTAGACGTTGAAATCGATAAAGGAATCGGCACTGATGGACGATTTTACAATGTCTATTATCTTTCTGTTACTTCTTACCGAAGGGTTTGGCATAGGCACCGGTGACGTCGCAGTTTCCCAGCCTGCACACAATTTCTGGTGGTTGCGTGGCAGCGATGTTGTCGTGAAGTTCCAATGTTACTGCTAATGCCTTTTTCAACCTTCTTATGTATGTTATCCTCCCTACTAGTCAACTGTATGTCGGTAATCTCTATATTTTTTGTCATCGGATTAACGTGGACACTAATTTACGGAGGTTTTATCCACACTTAATTCACCAATTGGCTTCCAATTCTCTTTCATTCACTTTAACTAGAAACCCACCTCAGAGATCCAGCGTGCATTGCAACTTGGCATACAACATCACATTGGCTCAATTCAAAAGCAGGCTATGCGTGATGTATTGTATCGAGACTTCCAGACAATCGAGACTGTTCAATTTCCAGCTACAGGGACAAAATCGACACCTGCGCATTCCTTGTCCGACTTCCGTTTCCGCACCTACGCTCCTATTGCTTTCCGGAACTTCCGAACCCGTTACAAGTTGGATATACGGGATTTCCTCGCAAGTTTAATCATCCCATGCCATAATTTTTATGTAACATGCGAAACTTACATTCCTTCTTGATTCTGTCATGTCTTCATCCCTCGTGTCTGGTCCTTCTCGGCCCTGGTGGCAACACAATTTGAAATCAAACAACTTGCTTTAGTGGAACTCCGTTGAATTCGACATTGTCTACCTTTAGGGTTGCGCATTTCACTGCACACATGTACATTCTAGTCTCCTTCTGAACGTCTAGGTCCTACTCGCAACGGACCCCCTTGTTTATTGGCATCAACACTACACCGGTATCTCGTACAGATTATTTGTTGCCGGCTATTACCAAGCAGCAACGTATGCGCCAGGGATATTACTGTGAGATCAGCCACATGTACATAAACTCCAAATGCGACCAATCTTAGTTTGTCTTTACTGCTTATCATCGCCGATATTCCGACATGGAAGTTTCTGATTCAATCACTCGGAAATGTGCGGCTATCGGCAACACAGCTCAATTCAATGTACACTTGACACCGATCTGAACCTGAGGCCACCGAGCTGACCTTTTTCAACGAACTCGCTTTACTTGACCGTCTATCATCCGAGAACGCGATAGATCCAGTTGCTTTGATGCTGGTTGCGAGAACTCTTGTGACGAATACAAGGCGGGGTCTTTACATTTCTTTTCTTTATTGTTGTTTTCTTTATTGTTGTAGCCTTTGCGCTATCGACTGCGGATTTTGCATTTCATCTAAATCTGAGATATTTTCTCTGAGTTGCTATCCAGCTTAATCATGTCATCGTCCGTCAATCTTTACAAACATTACGTGACAATGCCAGAACTTCACGCTTCATCGAACAGTCACCTTCATACAAATTACGGCGAAACATTTTTTGAAACAAGCGAAAGCATCGTACAATACGAACTTCCCTCCAAACGACTCCTTTACCCTCTGGTCGCCGTATCTGCTGCATCTAGTGGGGTAGATAGGGGTTTGTATGCTACTGCTCAAGCCTCACCGTCTTCTTATTCCTCCTCTTACGCTTTTTCGCTCTTATCGTCCCGTTCCAATTTCACTTTTATCTCCTTTTTAAACCCCCAAATTCTTTGTCCTCCTCTAACTTGCGTTTCTCTCCCATACCATTTTGAGTCATGTAAGCCATAGCGGAGTCAATTTAGGCCGTAACGACTCCATACGTCATCAAGGTGTCGCTCTGGTATAGTCAACAAGCCCATTTTCAACCAAGCGGCCGAGCTCATTTCATCGGTTTTTGTTGGGAGCCCTCGACCCCACCCCTCCCCCTCAGATTGGCATGCCTCAACGTAGGGATCTTTTTACAGGTCGACCAAAAAGCAGCACTTGCCCGAATACTAGAAACCCTCTCGATCAATATCTGCTGTTTGTTGGAAACCCGCCTGCAAGACTCGAGCCCTGTGCTCACTCTGCGATTCCCTTCAAGCGACGCTAGCAGTGTTTTCTCATTGCGCCCATCTAGAGATGATGCAGCTTCGAGTGCCGGCCAATCCGGTGTGGGTATTGCCCTGAATTTCCGGGCTGAAGCTGCCCTGCTTGATTGGTCTCCAATCAGTAGCCGGATATGTTCCGTCCGATTGGCTGACTCGTTCATAGTTTCGAAGACGCCCGGGACTGATAGGTGCCTGCTTGTTTGCCTACGCGCCCACAAATCTTATCGCGATGACTTATATTGCCAACTGAACGAGCTCCTTCGTCACAGAAGGAGTTCACTGGGGATCTAAACGCTCAAGCTGAAAATTGCCCACTGATGAGCTGCATCTGGGCCGCCAACACAATGTAGGCTCCCGTAATGATAACGGTGAGCAGTTACTTCATTTGTGTGAAAATCCTCATCTATTTCTCTCGAGCACTAACTCCCCAACTGTAGAAGCCACTTGTTCTGAGGGCGTATCAAAGTACGCTGGCTTGTAGGTTGTGTAAGCGCTCATTGAATACAGCTGAAATTCACTGATCGCATGTTCACTATACCTTATTAGGGATAGGGAAATCTAATAGCCAACATAGACATTGGGTCTGCGTGGTATCTGAAACTTATCGATGCTAGCCGACACATTCCGGTTGTAAGCGAACACAACGACTTTCGCTAAGTATTCTGGGCGTGACTGCTTGCTTGCCGTCACACCGAGACTGGACCTTAACGCGGTGCGACGGTTTGTGTACCACTTTGACTTATTGAGCTATAATACGTAGTACCTCCGGGCACCTTGAGAACTATTCCTACCAGGTTGGTCAATGTTGAGACGTCAGACAAACTCAGTCTCCTGGTCCTCCTGGTTGGGGGTTTGAAATAGGATGGTGTACATTTCTGTAAAACTAAATCATTACCACCTCCCCGCTGCCTTGTGGACAGGCTTTTGAACCCATGGCTTTGGATGAGGACCCTAATCGTCCTCCTGTCTAGGCTTGGGCGCCCTGGCATTATCTCAGCCCAAATACAACCATGACTTTTTCTTCAAACATAAACTTCATCCTGCATCGGCCGTCGCGCAGATTATCAAGGGTCGCCTTATCTGCTGCATACAGCGGGGCGGCTAAGCGAAAACATGCTACTGCTGGTGCCTCCCTTCTTTCTTTTCCACCTGTTTCTCTTACTTCCATCCCAATCCCCCTTATTAACCTTCCTACTATAATTCCCAGCTTAATTGACAGCAACCGAAGTGCCACTGAAGTAGAACCATCTGCAGTCACCTCGCGACACACATCGAACGCCTATCGGCAGCAGTCCCTTTTAAGGCCACACTGTCCCGTTTCCATGGCGACGTTCAACGTTCGCGCTCAAAGACAAATAGGTCAACAGGCTGCACTCGCACGCACCTTGGATACACTGGGTATTGATGTGTGTTGTGTGTCCAAAACCAGAATCAATGACCGTAATGGGGTTGTTAAATTAATTGCAACCGGCTTATCTTCTCGTTATTGGTTGCACGCATCCGGAGACACCGATGCAGCACTCACGGGTCAAGTTGGTGTGCGTATCATTCTAAGCTCCAACGCTGTGCCATCGTTGGTTGATTGGATTTCGGTGAACAGCCGGGTATATGCAGCCCGTTTGACGACATCAGCTATGGTTGATTCACGAAGTAGCACAAGACGCTGTTTGTTTGTGATTTCCGTTTATGCTCCCACTAACTGCAGTTCTAATGCAGTCAAGAACACATTCTATCACGAACTGAACGCGCTACTACGCAGTGCTACTAGTTCAGATATTATAGTACTTGTAGGGGATATGAACGCACAAGTAGGGCATCTGAGCTCTTCAGAAGCTCAGCTGGGTGGTAATTGTGGGCTTAACTCCGAACGGACTAACAGTGGCGAACGTCTGCTGCAATTGTGTGCGGAGCACCAGTTGTTTCTTAGTAGCACTGTTTTTATACGCAGCGGGCGCCGAAGTGCAACTTGGCGTCCACCTGTGGCTGGTCAGCGATGGACCCAAATTGACCACATAGCCATAAGTTACAAGTGCATGGTTCCATCCTGGATCGCCGCTCATACTGGAGTACCTGTGTCGACTCTGGTCATGCCTTAGTACGCTGTTGTTTCTCCATGAACTTTACATGGAGACGCACCAAGCGTCTTCTCCGACTGGCAGCTGCAAAATTGTCTCAGTCCTCGGTCAGGCAAGCCTATTTAGACACCCTACATACCGGACCTTCGCTGTCTTGTTCTGATGACACTGAGCTTCAGTGGAATAGGATATCGGCCGCCATGCACGACGCAGGAGCTTGTGGCACTATCCATCGTCACCTCACCAGCCATTGGATATCCGAGAGGTCGGTGAACCTGTTGGAATCTAGAAGACACCTCCCGGCTGGCTCTGAACACAATGTGACCAGACGGGCTATTAGGCGTGAACTAAAGCAGAGCCTACGTGCCGACAAGGAATCCTGGTGGACCAGTCGAGCTCAAGAAATGGAGGAGGCAGGAGCAGTACGCAAGTCGGCAAGCTCTTGCAGCTAATCCGCACCACTGCTCCCAGAAAACCAGGCGTTAGTGAGACAATCAGAGACAGCTCAGGTGCGCTGATACACCATAGGGAACGCCGTATGGCTTATTGGGCCGAACACTTTCAAGATCAGTTCAGCTGGTCCCCTGCTCCCGGACCTCTTCCTACTCAGGTGATGCAGGACGAGCCATGGACTGTTAGTTTAGAGCCTCCGTCGGAGGCCGAGGTCCGAAACGCGATCACAGCCCTCAATCATTTTTGTGCCACTAGTCCGGATTCCCTCCCCCATGCACTATTTAAGGATGGGGGTGAGATCCTCTGCAAAACACTCACCTCCCTATTCGAACTTATCTGAAAGGAAGAGAGTGTCCCGGCTGATTGGTGCGAATCGATTATAGTAGCAATATACAAGAAGGGCAGTCACACAGACTGTTCTAAACACAAGGGTATTGGCCTAACGCCAGTTGACATAATTACGGACCTCGATTCTCGTTCGTCGCCTTAGTGTGGAACGGGAATCTCGGATTATGGAAGATCAGGCAGGTTTCAGCCCAGCACATTGCTGTGTAGACCATATATTCACTTTGCGGTAGGTGCTAGAGCAGCGCCACGCATACCGCAGAACGAGAATAACTGTGTTCCTGGATTTCAAGACTGCGTTCGATTCAGTCGATCGATCGATTCTATCCGAAATACTTGCGCGGAAAGCTGTTCGCACGAAATATGTGAACTTACTACGCGCTCTATACTCGAACTCTACAGGCCTCGTCAGGATCTACCGTGGCCTATCGGATAGCTTTCCGACCACAAGTGGCGTTCTTCAGGATTGTCCGATTTCCCCATTTCTGTCCAATTTCGTCGTGGATTCTATCATGGTGTTTCCTTGCGGAATCTCACGATGTAGGCATTGAAGTGCTGCCTGGGGTAAGGTTAGTTGATCTAGATTATGCGGACGATATCGTCTTGCTTTTCGACGACGTTGGGGCGGCCCAATCAACCCTGAATAGCCCGTCTAGAGTGGTCCCATTATTTGATATGCACTT